CCCATATGATTGCAGATTGATGTTATCTTAAGATACAAATGTGATGAAATACTTTATTGAAGGACTTTAAAAAAATGACTCATGGCCAAAAAAAGTGGTCGCCCGCCCCATAATGCGCATGCCTAAAGCAGGCCAGACGGCTGTGGGCATAGCTGATTAAGATTATACAGTTTAACAGTGTATTAATTTTTTTTTTTTTTTTTTTTTTTAACGTTGCTTTTATTTCTTGAATCTTCTCTTTGCGAGACTAACAAGAGGTGTATCAAATCTTATATTTTTAACTTAACTAACAGTCATATTGACTAATACGGAGTTAGACGGCCCTAAAAATCGATTGCTGGGTTGGGAGGTCGTTGCGTCTAAGGCGGGATACGCTAGAAACCCGAGTCAATCCCCGAGCGAGAAAATTTGGGTGCGAAGACAGTTTTTCTTTGTATGACTCTTTTTGCTTCTGGATTTCGTCTTTCACTGCGAGGATGCCCAGATCCCGGTGGATGTTTTCGTTGCGAACATACCAAGGTGCCCCTGTGATAGTTCTCAGGATTTTTGATTGTGCGCGCTGTATGATGTCTATGTTGCTGCTGCTCGCGTTCCCCCACAGCTGGGAGCCATACGTCCAGATTGGCTTTAGGACTGAATTGTACAGTAGTAACTTGTAGTCCAGGCACAGTGGCGATCGTGAGTTTATGATCCAGTGGAGGCTGCTGGCTTTCAGTTTTAGATGCATCTTTTTGCATTCGATGTGCTTACGCCAGGTAAGTCGTCTATCAAGGTGAACGCCAAGGTACGTTACGTCGTTAGCTTGAGGGATCTGCATACCGTTTAGTAAAAGCGGAGGGCATGTTTGTCTATTAAGAGTAAACGTTATATGTTTACACTTTTGTTCGTTTATTTTAATGCGCCAGTCGGACAGCCACCTTTCCACTATTGTGAGATGATTAGCCAGTTGGGTTGTTGCCTGCGTTGGGCATCTGGAGCGACTAAGAATAGCGGTATCATCGGCGAACGTTGACGTTGTTAGTTGTGCGCTCGTAGGAATATCCGCAGTATACAAAACATATAGACACGGCCCGAATGCGCTTCCCTGTGGAACTCCAGCTTCGATGGTGTAGTCGCCCGAAGTAGCTGCGTTGCATCTCACTGAGAATACCCTATTGAAGAGGTATGATTCCAGTAGCTTGTGGGTGTATGTTGGCAAATACGTTTTAATTTTGTGCATGAGACCGATGAGCCAAACTCGGTCAAAAGCTTGCGATACGCCGAGGAAAATAGCGCTGCAGTATTCTCGTTGTTCGAAGGCTGAGCGTATTTCGGATGTTAATCTGTTCACTTGTTCGATGGTTCCATGGTTTCTTCGAAAGCCAAATTGGTGTGCCGGGATGATATTGCAAGCTTCCAGATGTGGTATTATGCGAGTTAACAAGCATTTTTCAAACAGTTTAGACAAACAAGATAGAAGGCTTATTGGTCTGTATGATGACGGAATTGTGTGGTCTTTTCCAGGCTTCGGTATCATTATAATAATGGATTTCTTCCACTTTTTTGGGAAATAGCCAAGATTAATGATTCCATTAAATAGTTTGCAGACGACCTCTATAGCGCATTTTGGAAGTTCGATCAGCATCTTTGGGGTCAATAGGTCACCACCGGGAGCCTTTTTGGTTTTAGCCCTCTTATGACTTTTTCGATTTCGTTCGGCCGGAATGGAGGTGCGGCTGGCTGAGGGGAGGACTCTGGCTGAATTACTGGCAGGAGGAATGAATTTGAGGCTGGGATTGGCTGGAAGACACTTTGGAGATGTGTGGCGAATGTGTCAGCTCGGTCTTCGTTGCTGCGAGCCCAGCATCCCGAAGAGTTTCTTATCGGGGTGGTCGTTTCAATTGGGGCACTAAGATTTGGGTGGGCCCTCCACAGGGGGTACTTTGTGCTTGTTGGCGAGAGATTCTGGATGTACCTCAGCTGTGCATTTTCTTCCTGTTGGTGAAGAGCCTGGTCGAGTGATCGGGTTGCTTCCTTAAGGCGTTGTTTTGAAGCTGGTGATCTGCTGTTTTGCCAATCACGACGCGTGCGCCTCTTTTCTCGCACGAGCTGTTCGATTTGCTGATTAGATTTGAAGTGTTTGTTTCGGTCTACTTCTTTCCTATGAGGAGTAGAGATTTTAGCTGCCGCAACGAGTACTTCTTCCAGGGCGCTCGTAGTGTAGTCGATGTCCGATTCCATGTTAAAATCCGGGGCGAGTTCTATGTGGGCACTCACGTACTTTTTGTATTTTAGCCAGTTTGTTTTTGTCGTCGTCAGACTGAAGGGGTGTTCGGTTATTTCTGGGCTTTGAAGAAGCGTTAGAAGCACAGGCGAGTGGTCTGATGATAAGTCCGAGACTGCTTTGGCACTTATTAGATTGCGAGGTATGTTTTTGTCACTGCAAAATCAATAAGGTCTGGGAGCTTTCGTGAGTCTGTTGGCCAGTATGTGGGACTTCCAGGGGAAACGTAGTCCAGTTTATTTTTCACATTTATAATTGCATTGTACAATTGTCTTCCTTTGGGAGTCACTAGACGTGATCCCCAGTGCGTATGTTTGGCGTTGTAGTCTCCTGCGGCTATAAATCGATCCCCAAGTGAATTGTAGAAGTCCATAAATTGTCCTTCCGAGATTGAGAAGCGAGGAGGGCAGTAAACGGCAGCAATTGAAAGGATTCCGTTGCTTGACTGAATTTGTATCGATGTGGCCTGCAAGAAGTTTGTTGCAAACCTTTTGTGAAAATGGTGTTTAATTCGTTCTCTGATTAGAACTCCAGTTCCGCCGTGGGCTTTCCCATCTGGATGATCTGTTCGGTAGATTGTGTAGCCTCTTATATGAAAGTTGTATTTGCTTGTAAGATGCGTTTCCACCAGTAGCATAACGTCAATATGGTTTTCGGTCAAGAATTGTGACAATTCTAGTTTATGCCGTGAGACACCATTGGCGTTCCACATTGATATTCGTAGCGCCTGCATAGATTATTTGGACTGTTGTGCTACGAGCAGCTGTATCACCATGTTCTGGTTTTGAACAAGCGTTTGCATGGTCGTTTTCATGAATGACATAAGCTCCATCATACTCTGTTGGAGGGTAAGCATCATAGTTTCCGTTTTGCTGTGTGGCTGTTCTGGGGCCTGTTGAGCGCTTTGAGAGTTAGGCTGAATTGGAATTTCCCTTCCAGATCGTAGAGCATCGGCATAGGAGAAGCCGTTGGTGGTGTTTAGTGGACCGAATGAGGATCTCGCAGCTTTGGCGAAGAAGACGTCTGGCGTGGTTTTTGACGAAACGTACGCATTCTGTGGATTTTGGTTGCGCGTTGCGGTCGCTTGACGCATGCGACTCTTTAACTCCTTATACACAATACATCCTCTATAGTTTGCCGTATGGCTGCCTCCGCAGTTTCCACATTTCTTCACGGTACTGTCCTTGTTTGTAGTGCAGCAAGCGGACTTGTGGGCGTCCCCGCAGACTACACAGACAGCCCGAAGTGTGCAGTAAGACCTTGTGTGTCCATACTCTTGATAGTTAGTGCATTGCACTGGACCGTTGCGTTTATGTGGCTCTTCAACAGTGATTTTCCGATGCAAAAGATATTGCAGGTTGTAGATTGGGTGGACTTCGTTCTTCTTCAGCGACCTGCTTTCAGGCTCGAGCTCGACCTTGAAGAGGGGTTGTGGCTTTTTATCTTTATTTAGAATGTTAATAACATTCTTGGCGGCGAAGCCCTTTTCTTTAAGGGCGGTTTTTATTTCCTCGGCGGTAACATCAGGTTCTATTCCCTTTACTACCACTTGTAGGCCCTTACTGCTTTTCAGCTGGTACGTGTAATAGTTTTTCTGTACAGTGTCCAGATATTTTGACACTATTCGGAAGTGCTCTTCAGTCTTGGTTTGCACCTTTGTTTCATGGATGTTCCCTTTGATAAGCGGAACAACATGAAAGTTTTCACCGTTCCCGATCAACGACGCAATTTTGTTGACCAGGGCACTCGAGCTTTTTTCCCTAATATAGATTGGAGGGGGCTTGGGTTTTTTTGCGGTGTCTTGGGCTGGTTGGTTTTCCTCAGCCTCCGCCAGTAGGGCAAATCTGTTAGTAGTGGATCTGTCTGGTTCATTATCGTTATTCAGGACACGGTTAATTTTTGTTTTGTTGCCTGCCGGATTACTCTGCGGGCTAAGCTTGCGCTTAATTTGGATGTAGCGATCCATTCCAGTCTGTGTGGCCGTTGCCGCTTTGGCACTTTCCGAGGTTGTTGTTTTTGTACTCGCTGTAGTCGTTGACGTCGTGGTACTTTGAGTTGCAGGGGTTTTCGCTGTTGTTGCAGAAGTTGTAGCGCTGCTTGTTGTTGGTGCGAAATTTGTTTCCGATATTGGAGGGGGTTTTACACTGCGAACTCCATGACGCGGGAGTCGGAGTGAGCAGAGCGGGTGAGCAAGACCGTGCCCCTTGGGTTTCAGCGGTCAGTAAAGCCGGGTTGCTTTTAAGCGCCGATTTTTCCACTTCGGTATCGCGGGTTGAAAAGTAAGAGTAGAAGCCGTTTCTTTGGTTCACTGAACTTCTACGCTCGTTCTTTTGGTCGTTGCTCAATGAGCTCATTGCGTGGTACGTATTTTTTTTTTCAACAATGCACTAGTTTTGGTTTAGCACATTACAACTGTTATAAAAAAAGCTTGTCTGTCGCTTTTAATAAATTGTATTTCAGTGTCTTTTCGCTTATATTGGCGAAAATATAAGCGAAGTGAAGTTTTCCCGGAGCTCGGACAAAGCACGTCCGCTCAGTTCGGTAGTTCGATTAGGAATTGTATTAATTGTATTAATTAACACACATATTATTTAAATATATTATATTATTCTCTTTCTTCTTCAGTCGTCAGGAAACTCTTCGGTCAGCCACAATTTTTGGTACTCAAACGAATAAAAATTTCAATTATATAAAATTATTAAAAACAAACAAAAAGTTGTATTTTTGAAAAAAAAAAAAATTCTACACATAGCATAAATAAATAATTGAACAATATAAAAGCTATAGTCCGGGATGGATTACAAGTAGGTGGATTCAAATTTTTTGCGCATCTTAAGTTTTCTTTGTTTTCCAGGAAAAATGCTGAAGCGCTTGATATTTAGTGACCTTTGCAGTATTCGGATGGTGTAGTCGGGTACCAAGCAAGCCACACACGTTAGTAGGATCCACAACCAGGTTGGTAGCGAAGCTAATAGATTATTGTAGGCCCAATAGATGTCAGTGTCAAAGTCCCTGCAAAGAAGTTGAAAATTTGCAACCCATATTAAGTTTTACGTGGCAGCCGCACTTACAAATTGATGACGTTATAAATAACTGTGGTAATTATAAAGCCCAAAATAGAAATAATAATGGTAAAAATGTACCAGTAGGAGAGGTACATTGACTCCAGCCAGAGCTTTAGATTTACGACAATTACCACAGTCCACATTAATAATGTGCCAAAGCAGGAAAACGCCGCTGTCTGTCCAACATTTAGGATTACGTTGTTGTAAGAAAACAGGCAGAAAGCGAAGTAGAATATGATGACGGAATGGTAGACGGCGAACAGCACCCACATGAGGAAGTACGGCCACTGAAGTTGTTTGTTATCCGTGTTCTTTTTATATAGTTTTGGTGTTCTGAAAGATAATATAATGGGTAAATAATTGGCCGACAGCATAAAATCTCTACGCATAATTTCGCCTGCTCCATAACCTTTAAACTCCCCTCAACCAAAGTTCAGAACAAACATATGTAGGTTCCATCACCCACAGTTTCCGCGGTACACCCAAGAGAAAAATTTTAATTTATTAAAATATTGTATTTAAAAAATTTAAATAGCTTAAAAAGTTAAAACTAAGAGAAAAATTTTAATTTATTAAAATATTGTATTTAAAAAATTTAAATAGTTAAAAAGTTTAAATTTAAAAAGTGCATCATTCAGTTACGGTAACTTGGAATTCTTGGAATACTCATCCAAATCACTGATTTTATACATTTACTTTTGTGCAGCTATGATTTTTCCCCAAAAATTTTTCTATAGAAGATTTTACAATTTCTGATTAAAATTAGTATATAATGAAGTTTTAATTAAGCATTCAAGGTAAAGCACGACTTATAGTTATTATAGTTACAATACATTCGTCAATTAAATTTGTGTTTTGAATCTCATTTTTTTTAAATCCCATGCCTTCCTCATGCCAAGTATTCATAAAGCCTAGTACCTTTAGGAAGCCAGGGTACCTTAGGGAGCCTAGTACCTTTAGGGAGCCAGCTCAGGGTCTTAGGGAGCCATTTCCATAAATTTTAGTTGATATACATACATTTCACAAATGATATGTACTCATAACAATGATGGTTAACGCAAATACAAGGCCAACATAATTCAATATACAAGTATGGGAAAATTTTATTCACCTATGTTTGTTCTGGACTTTGGTTCAGTGAAACCTAAATTAGTAGGCTAAATTATACGTCGAGAAAAAAAAAATGGAAAATTTCGGCCTGTGTAATTATCAACGAATCTAAATTCAATCGGATGGAAAAAAGTAAGGTTTGGCGCAGACCAGGAGAAAGACCTAATAAATGAAATTTAATTGTTTGAAGTGGTGAGCGTACGAAATTGCATAATGCGTAAAGAACACTATTTAGACATTTTTAAAAACAATCTGACATATTTTATAAGCTGGCTTCTTTGATTTTGTTATAAATTGAATTAATAATCTTACCTTAGAGGCATTACCATTTACTCGCGTTTATGTGTTTTTAAAATTTAAAAATCAAGTTTGGACCATGTACTCAATTTTGCGCTCACTGAATATCGGATCGGATATATATATATTTCGCACATACCGGACGTAGTGTGCCGGATATCGGATACACACCCAGACCCTTATAAAAATTATTATCAAAATAATTTACAAATTAAAAAATACATTTTGAAATCGAATTCTAATTTCAACAAAAACAAGAAAGGAAAGCTAACTTCGGGCGGAGCCGAAGTTAATATACCCTTGCAGTTAAGACCGGATATATATCGCAAACATCGGATATAGTTGGCTGATCCTGATAAGAATATCATAATAAAAACAATTAATTACAATAAAACATCTTGCAGTTAAAACCGGATATATATCGCAAACATCGGATACAGTAGGCCGATCCTTATGATTAGATCATAATAAAACCAATTAACTAATACAAAAAATCTAAAAAAAAAATCCCAAGCTTCTATCTTCAACAATACGAAAGTTGATATTTCTACCAAATACTATTTCCGATCGTTCAGTTATATGGCAGCTATAGGATATAGTCGGCTGATCCCGGTCGTTCCGACTTATATACTGCGTGCGAAGGAAAGAAGGGTGTGTGCAAAAGTTTCAAGTCGATAGCATTAAAACTGAGAGACTAGTGCGTAGAAACAGAGGGACAGACAGACGGACAGACGGACATGCTCATATCAACTCAGAAGGTGATCCTGATCAAGAATATATATACTTTATAGGGTCGGAGATGTCTCCTTTACTGCGTTTCACACTTTTGGACAAAATTATAATACCCTCTGCAAGGGTATAAAAAGTTATGGCATTTCCGATCAAATATTTATAAGGTAGCTATAAATATAATCGACCAATCACGCCCGTTCTGACTTATATACTACGTGCAAAAAAAAGGATGTGTGAAAATTTTGAAATTGATAGCTTTCAAACTGTGAGGCTAGCTTGGAGACAGACGGATAGGCGGACACGGTTCTTTTCCGAACACCGTTGAAGAAAGAGGCACCCGTATAAGGTGTTTTTGAACACCTTGTTTTAAAACTTATGTATTAGAAATTGTGTGAACAAGTTTTTGTTTACCTAATAGTGAAAAACGAACCACTAAGACTTTAAGTACGTACCGCATAAGCTTATCCTCTGTGTAGGGTTTTTCGGAGATAGCTATGAAGAGAATGGGAAGGGACGTGTATATCACATTGTAGAGTGTTAGAAAGAGGGAGTCGTAGACGGAAGACGACGAGAAGAGCGTGTGAAATTGAAACAGAAACATGATGCCCATGAAGACAATGTTTTTGTAGAAGAAATAAAGCACCAGCAGGGACAGTCGCACGCTGTGGTAGTGGCCGTGGACTAACAGCAGCCGTTTCAGCATGCAGAACTTTGCAAAGGCAAAGTCTGCACAGCGTGCTGCCTGCCGGCCCTCACGTCCCATGATCCCAATGCCCACGTGGGCCTCTTGGATCATTGACACGTCATTGGCGCCGTCACCGATAGAAGCCGTGTTGTAGTTTTCATTAGAGGATTTGATAAGGGATACGACCTCGCTCTTTTGCAGGGGACTCAGTCGACAGCATAGCACAGCAGTGCACTTAACAGCCACGTCTCGAAATTCAGAGCTAGCCTCCGACAACGCCACGCTTAGGCTCTTTCCATCAATCAACAGGGCGCAGTCTTGGCCTATGCCAAAGATCACTTCCCGATCCAGAGCGTTTAAATGCAGCAACATTTCTTCCCGGCTTTTACAGTCGATGATAAAGTATTTCTTTGCGTCGGGTGGTATGTGCCCGCAGGACAGAGCAATGTTCAAGGCCGTCTCCACTTTATCTCCTGTTAAGACCCAGATTTTGATCCCAGCCGCCTGAAGCGAAACTAGAGTATCGGCCACGTCATCCTGCAAGGCGTCTTCCACTGCTGTAGCACCCAGAAGGTCTAGATCTAAAGGGGAAAAATAAATTGAAAAGATAAGATAAACAATTGTTCAAATCAGGACTAAAAAACAAAGAATGATTATTAAAAATATATCTTAAAAATATAAGACTTACTGCATTCAATTTTCGCATAGCATTCCTCGCTGAGCTGCTTTCGATTTTCAAGGGAGCTGTTGGCTTGGGCTAGTTCGACTACAAAGTCTTGGTACTGCTCCTCAGTGACCAATCGTCGGGCTATCGCCAGGGTGCGGAGACCCATGCGGGCAAAGTCACTGATGTGAGCATCAGTCTTGGAGATCCTAGCTGCCGAGCTGTTAGCACACAAAGGAAAAACATAGCTTTCAGCTCCCTTGGTGTAGATCCACTTTCTGCGTTCGCCGTCCATCACAATGACACTCATACGCTTGCGATCCGATGTAAATTCAAGGACATGCAAACGCTGAAACGTCTCTTCTTTCGCCTTGAAACTCATAAATGGTCGTTTGTAGTCTACGTGTGGAGGCACAATGCGAATACGGAGAATTTCGTCGTCATCGCCCAGGTAAACCATTCCCAAATTGGCACAAGCTTCTACTAAAGCCTTCTCGTCTGGACTCGAAGCCTGATAGTCTAAAGTGCTGTCAAAAGTTTAAAAATAACAAAAAAGTCAAAGTTGATAACAAAACAAGACGGTAATGCAAAATGACGCGTAAATTTGTTTTACGACTTACAATATAAAATCATGGATCTCCTTCTTCCGTCTTTGGGATTCGGCACGAACCAGGATAGTGGGTTGGCGGGTAAATGTAGGTGCTGCATAGGATTCCCGAGAGGTGGTACTCGGAGATCGGAACAGTATGTTAGAGCCTGGGGCATCAACAGTTACCGGACTAGTAAGGTATGCATTGGGTGCCCCATAGGAATGGGCTCGCCGGTGGCCCAGAGGCACTGTATGTGCCTCCTCGTATTGGGGCAAGTCTCTCTCTGAGGTAGAGCGTTGGAATTGGAGGGAAATGGGACGGACGTTGGAAGTTCCTTGCAGGACAGAGTGAACGACCGAGCCCACGTCGTTCTGGCTGAACTGCGAGTCTCCAGCTGGGGCATTGTGTACCCGGCTTGCGATGCGGGTGAAATTAGGACTGCGTTTGATTACCACTGGTCTTTTACGTCGCTCCACATTATAGCTATCGTTGCTGACCAACAGTGGATTGACATCGGAGGCCGTGAAAGTCGAGTTGCTGCCATTGGGGTGTGCCGAAACCGAATTCTCTATAGCGTGGGACACATTGAGTTCACTTTGCTGACTAGAATTGTGACTCTCTTCAGTAATGTCAGATATCGGGTACATTTCGGAAGGTCCCGAACTGGTTGTTATCGCCGCTCCCGGGCTTTTCGGTTCTTTTTTAGCGCTGCTGGGCTCACTCTCTTCCGACGGGTCCGAGGCCACCTGAATGGTGTGGCAAATTGAGAGAGCCTGGAAGAAAAGTCGCTGGTCCATCTAAGAGTAAATGGTTGCTATTGAACATTGTATTAGACAAAAAAACGACCAGCTTACATTGAACTTGTTAATGTCTAATAAGGCGCTGGTCTCCTCGTCTTCTAGGCGAGTCTTTTTGAAGAGGAATTTCCGACCGGCTATTGAACATTGTTGGAAGTTCATCTCGTTCTTGGTTAGAGTTCCCGTTTTATCTGAGAAGAGTATGTTTATTTGGCCCAGCTCTTCGTTCAAATTCGATGTGTTAACCACGCACGGCTGGTCAGTCTCCTTCTCATAAAGCTCCAAATCCCATTCCATAAACAAACTACCGATCACCCGTTGAAGCTCGATGGTCACATAAAGTGAGATGGGAATTAGATAATTAAAGAGAATTAAGAATGATAAGTAGTCCTGCAGAAACTGTTTCACACTATAGCTATCTGTTGCATCCCCCAAATAGGTTAGCCTTGGTATCACAAAAAGTTCGTTGTAACTGAAAATATTATTAATTACAAATTGTAATTTACAATACTATAATTTCTTGTCAAATATCCTATGTTAGATTTCAGAACTCACCGTTTGAGGAAATATAGCAAGGTCACTATCGCAATGAGAGCCACGAGGATGACGACTAGGAATCGGTTTATGTACGTCTCGCTGGTGGCATTTTTGTTGCGTGTGAGGCGGCTGTTTAGCTGTAACTTGGTAACCATGCCTGTGTAGACAGCGCACCCAATGACACACTCTGTGTTCTTCACTCTAGATCCACGCAACAGAACATTTTCGGAGGTCAGTGGCAAGACTCGTCCTTCGCCGTTTTTCAGCTCAATTTTTCCGTTAAAGCTGTACAGATCTGTTGTGGCAGCTTCGCACTCAATAACGCCCAGTTTGTGCATTTCCTCCAGTTCCACGGCGGGTAGGTCCCGGGGTACCATCAACGTCTTCAAATTTGATTCGCCGTCCAGGTTGGCCGTTGTTATAAAGCATTTCCCATGATGATCTGTGGAGCGTAAAAGTACCAGGTCACAGGGTACATCGCAGTCCCGCTCAACGACAACAAGGTCCCCAGGTGCAACGTTCTGTGACTTGATTATCGCCTCCTTTCCCTCCCGGATTATTGTCACTGTAACAGAAAAAGGGATTAGGATTCATAATTTTTGACCTGAGAATAGGAGCTTTTTATACCAACCAGGGGAGGCATTGACTACATTGTCGGTCCTGTAGCGCAGGACATCTTCATATCCCTGCTTGGCCGCGGTCACGGCGATCACAAATACGAGTGGGAGAAGTGATGTCATCGGAGACACAGGACTATCTGTTTATAAATTTCCAATAATTTGAAGTATGTAATATACATATGCTAAGAAAGAATTTTAAGTAGCTTATAGGAATCTCCGACCCCATAAAGTATATATATTCTTATAAGCTCGCCGTCTTGCTGTTTGTCTGTCTCTTTCTACGCAAACTGGGCCCTCAGTTTTACATACAAATATAAAAGTCGGAACGGTCGGGATTGGCCGAATATATTCTAAAGCTACCATATAACTGATATATCTGAAATGCCATAACTTTGGTATTTTTTGCTTTAGAAAGTTGAGATTTTCTATGGATTAAAATTTTGGGAAAATGATCCGTCATAAGGATTAGCCAACTATGTCCTTAGCTTTCATATAATTGAACGATCAGAAACGGTATTTGGTAAAAATACCAACTTTAGTATTTTTAGGGTTAGAAGCTTGGCACCTTTTTAAAATTTTGTATTCTAATAAAATTCATATAACGATCGGTCAACTATGTATATCCGTTATTTGGGACTTATATTATAAGTCGACTATAACTGCAAGAGTATATCAATTTCGGCTCAGCCCAAAGTGAGCTTTCCTTTCTTGTTTAATAGTAAAATTTAATTTTAGATGTAAAATAATAAAGTTTTTCATTTTTTAAAGATTATTTTACAGATTCTTTATCGATCTTATCAAGTTTATGGAAAAGCAATTAGGATTCAAAGCTCTTCATATTAAAATTCATTTTCTAGCCTAGCTTTTTAACTGATGGAATCAATATTACAAAACACATCACAGAAAAACATATTTGGTTGGGATGTGAGCTATAAAGACTCAGACTTAAGGTAATTCTGCTCAAAAATATACATAGACACAGAAACATAACGACGCATTTCCGCGAAAGTATCGTAAGTCGCATTTTTTCGAAATTGAGATTTGAATGAAAAATTGTTAGGCACCTAATGTCTTACTACCCTGTGAAATATTATAACTGAAAACCCTATAGTTGCGATACAAATTAAGTTTCAATTTTTGGAAATTGGAAATTATCGTATGTCCATACAAATTTTTTGCATGGAAATACTTCAAATGCACAAAAACAAAGAAATACAATAACAAATGTTTCTAATCCCTTAAACATCTTATGATTTTGCTTATTGTTTGTAAAGATGAAATAAAAAAAAAGCTTCTCCTGTAAAATTGGATTTTTCAACACACGATATACTTATCTAAGGGTTGGATATATACGTAATAATAATATTCATTATACCCTTGCAGAGGGTATTATAATTTTGTCCAAAAGTGTGCAACGCAGTGAAGGAGACATCTCCGACCCTATAAAGTATATATATTCTTGATCAGGTTCACCTCCTGAGTTGATATGAGCATGTCCGTCTGTCCGTCTGTCTGTTTCTACGCGAACTAGTCTCTCAGTTTTAAAGCTATCGTCTTGAAACTTTGCACACACCCTTCTTTCCTTTGCACGCAGTATATAAATCGGAACGGACGGGATCGGCCGACTATATCCTATAGCTGCCATATAACTGAATGATCGGAAGTGGTACAACTTTGGTGTTTTTAGAGTAAGAGAGTTCAAATTTGACATAAGAGCTATTTTTGGCCAAAATCAGGTCAAAAATTATGAATCCCAGATTTCATAAGGATCGGCCGACTATATCCTATAGCTGCCATATAACTGAACGATCGGAAATGACCCAATTTTCGTGTTTTAGAAGATAGAACGCTGGAATTTAGTACAGATTCTATTTTTGGTCAGTTGATCCAACCTACTAAATTTCATTAGGATCGGCCGACTATATCCTATAGCTGCCATATAACTGAACGATCGGAAGATATTCGCTTATTTGAAGATAGAAGCTTGGGACTTTTTTTTAGAGTTTTTATTTCAGTTAATTGGTTTTATTATGATATTCTCATAAGGATCGGCCAAGTGTATCCGATGTTTGCGATATATATCCGGTTTTAACTGCAAGGGTATATCAACTTCGGCTCCGCCCGAAGTTAGCTTTCCTTTCTTGTTTTTATATCACATTCATGTTAAACAAAATTTTGTATAATACATTACACTCGGGAAATATACTTTTTCTTAATAATTACCGATGAGTAGGGATATTATTGTCATCACAAGGAAGTAAAAATTCGCTATGCGCCTAAATTGTTCCAGTAAGTTTTGCGGCAGGAATGTAATCAATGTGTATTTGGTTGACTTAATGCGATTTTGACATTTTGGCTTTTTCTTCTTAACATCCTCCGATCCACCGATTTGTATTTGCAGCCAGTCATTTATTGTACTTACTCTAGAGCCCTACAAAATAATAAAATGAAATAATATTGAATATAGAAAATGCAATTTTGTATATGCAAATAAGAGACGAAAAAAAGCTACAGATGCGTAAAAAAAAAATTGTATTTCCCATATAAATAAAATTAATAATTTACGTGTCAAAATATCTTATAAAAAAAATTTATAAACAAGAAAGGAAAGCTAACTTCGGGCGGACCCGAAATTTATATACCCTTGCAGTTAAAACCGGATATGTATCGCAAACATCGGATATAGTTGGCCGATCCTTATGGGAATATGAATATATAATCCAATTTATTACAATACAAAATCTAAAAAAAGTCCCAAACTTCTATCTTCAAACATACCAAAGTTGGTATTTCTACCAAAAATTATTTCCGATCGTTCAGTTATATGGCAGCTATAAGATATAGTCGGTCGATCGTTACGAAATTCGGCATGTCGTATTATTTGGCCAAAAATAGCACTCATATAAAATTTGAACTCTCTAACTCAAAAAACACAGAAGTTATACCATTTCCGATCAATCAGTTATATGGCAGCTATAGGATATCTATCACTGCGTTGCACACAACATTTCAACATTTCGGCTCCGCCCGAAGTTAGCTTTCCTTTCTTGTTTTCATTTCTTTTTACTGTTCAATCCAAGAGGTGGCAAACCGAATGCCTAAGCGTTTTATTTTAGTATAACCTATGAAGATTATGATAATTATTATTATACCCTTGCAGAGGGTATTATAATTTTGTGCAAAAGTGTGAAACGCAGTCAAGAAGACATCTCCGACCCTATAAAGTATATATATTCTTGATCAGGATCACCTCCTGAGTTGATATGAGCATGTCCGTCTGTCCGTGTTTCTACGCAAACTAGTCTCTCAGTTTTAATGCTATCGACTTGAAACTTTGCACATACCCTTCTTTCCTTTGCACGCAGTATATAAATCGGAACGACCGGGATCGGCCGACTATATCCTATAGCTGCCATATAACTGAACGATCGGAAATGACCCAAAATTCGTGTTTTTTAAGATAGAAAACTGGAACTTAAAACAGATTCCATTTTTGGTCAGCTGATCCAACCTACCAATATTCATAACGATCGGGCGACTATATTCTATAGCTGCCATATAACTGAACGATCTTAAAGGATATTTGGTGAAATACCAAATTTGGTATTTTTGAAGATAGAAGCTTGGGTTTTTTTTTTTACATTTTTTATTGTAATTAAATGGTTTTATTATGATATTCTTATAAGGATCGGACAACTACATCAGATGTTTGAGATAAATTCGGTTTTAACTGCAAGGGTAAATCAATTTCGGCTTCGCCCGAAGTTAGCTTTCCTTTCTCCTGTTTTCTTCCTTTCTTGTTTTTAATTATATAGACAAATAACGAAATGTTATATGCTATATTGTTATACAAACAATATTATTTTTCAAAATGATCAAAACATAAATTTAAACAAAACTGTTTATATATCTTACAAATTATACTCAAAGAAACTGATTTGTGCCGCAGGCTTCGGTATTTACTGTTTAAAGTTTCTCTGACAAGAAGTAAAAGTGCGTCATTCGTTTGCCGATAAAGCTTTGGGGTCTTTAAAAAGAAATTTTCTTCTCAACACACCTTAATTTTAAATTTAAAAAAGTAGTCACTGCCATTTTTAATTTTTGTTTTGAGGGTTTGTGTATCGGATTCGACAGGATTCTAAATATTTTCAGAGATTCAGAGAATCTTCTCAAATTTTTCAATTTTTGCCTTTATTTAGCTTCAAACAAGCGATTGAGAAAATTTTAAAATATTTATAACTTTGAGTTGCCGTTGATTACAATATTTACATTAATTTTCTTGTTTATTTTTGATTATTAAAAATATGTATAACACGTTGTAAATTACACTTTTAAAATAGTTACATTAACATAAGGCATTTTATAATGTGAAAGTGTGAGTTTATGGCCAGGCACTGAAAAATCTTAAAAATATATTAGTCCCCGAACATTGTGATGTTAACATTACAAACTCTTTGACTTCAACATTTAAAGCCTTAAGCATTTAACATCAAAAACCAAATAGTTGTATGCTGAAATTTAATGAATGCCGTTCTTATTGTAAGAAGAATTTAGATTAATCACTCGGTGTTCACAAACCTTACACTTATTCCATAGAAAAGGCTCCTTGAGGTAAGATGAGTCCTTATCGGCCCAAGAGGGGATCGAATAGGAACCAACACGATCGATGCCTCGAAATCCGCTCAAATATTCATGGCCGAAAAAATTCATGATCTGAGTCCGGGATCCTGACAGCGCTACGAGAGCGATCAGAGAGATCATCTTCGATCTACGGCGGTCAACGACATTGCAGGCTTCGGACCAGTATCTTTTGGCTGAATGTTCTGGGTCAGTTTGGGGCTACTTGACGCAGATTTTCGTTTCGATCACACCTGATGTATTTGCTAATACTGCTATTTTTCTATTTGGCTATTGGTGTTTACAGATTTGTCCATATCCGGCCTTACATGAAGCTGGAGCAGCTGTTGGTGTTATACACAGTCCCAATCACACACACTTTTGCCTAGCCCACCTTAACCTTAAGTCGGTGTTAAGTGGGCAATTTTAACACTTCAATTAAATGTTCTATGATGCACGTCCCCAATCATTGTGTGGCAAATACACAAGGCCCGGCTATGGCTACGGTTCTGGTTACCATTACTATAACAAGAAGGGGTACGAACTCCAGTACAAGTAGGTATTACGTACATTGGGTTAGTGCGTGAAAAATGTTTGCGTTTCGTGTTGACACGGCTTTTAGCTATTTTACTGGGCTCTGATATTAAGCATTTGATCACCCGGGAGCCCTCGTGCCAACAACGCCTTCCTTTCACAAAATATATTTAATATATAGAATATATCCGAATATAACCGACACCGTCCATTTAATGATTGGTCGTCGATTGCGGAACAAGATAAAGTCAGTCGCGTGATGTGCGACAGTGAAAAGCTGTTCTCGCACTGAGAATTAGATCTTCAGTTCAATTCTCAGCCCCATTCCCTAGCCCCGTATCGTAAACCTCATATACTCATTTGAATTTCTATTTACAGCTTCAAACCCAGGAGCTTCCGAGCCAATAAAAGCTCGAAACTTATTGACATTGCCAATCGGCAGTCTCAGAGCTCACATACAAGCGTATCTTGAGTATACGAGTTCAAAGGGCAGAACTAATTAGGCGCTCTCCGGCAAAGCGATAGAATTCTTCTTAAATAAAATCACATAAAAATCAATTGTTTGAGAACCCCATACATACATGTTATTATGGGCTATTCGATTTTTATACCCTTGCAGAGGGTATTATAATTTTGTCCAAAAGTGTGCAACGCAGGGAAGGAGACATCTCCGACCCTATAAAGTATATATATTCTTGATCAGGATCACCTCCTGAGTTAATATGAGCATGTCCGTCTGTTTCTACGCGAACTAGTCTGTCAGTTTTAAAGCTATCGTCTTGAAACTTTGCACACACCCTTCTTTCCTTTGCACGCAGTATATAAGTCAGAACGGCCCGGATTGGCCGACTACATCCTATAGCTGCCATATAACTGATTGATCGGAAATGGTATAACTTTGACGTTTTTAAAGTTAGAGAGTTCAAATTTGACACAAGAGCTATTTTTGGCAAAACATTACGACATGCCAAATTTCAAAAGGATCGGTCGACTATATCTTATAGCTGCCATATAACTGAAGAATCGAAAATGACCCAACTTTCGTGTTTTTATAGATAGAAAGCTGAAACTAAGTACAGATTCTATTTTTGGTCAGTTAATCCAACCTACCAAATTTCATTAGGATCGGCCGACTATATCCTATAGCTGCCAAATAACTGAACGATCGGAAATTGTATTTGGTCGAAATATTAACTTTCGTATTGTTGAAGATAGAAGTTTGGGACTTTTTTTTAGATATTTTATTTTAGTTTATTGGTTTTATTATGATCTAACCATAAGGATCGGCCAACTGTATCCGATGTTTGCGATATATATCCGGTTTTAACTGCAAGGGTATATCAACTTCGGCTCCGCCCGAAGATAGCTTTTCTTTCTTGTTTCTTTATTAAATTTGGTGTTTTCACACATACATATGTACATACATACATGATACAATTATACTATAGTACATACATACAGGCAGTCTTCGGTGTTTACTTTTTGAAATGAATAGCTACCATGTTAAATTTCACATTTTTTCCCTTTACTTTTCAAAATGACGGATCTCTTTCATTTCACTTTTCAAAGTGAAATGAAAAGTAAACGGCTTTTTCACGCCTGAATCGACATCTAATAAAAATAAAAACAAGAAAGGAAAGCTAACTTCGGGCGGAGCCGAAGTTTATATACCCTTGCAGTTAAAACCGGATATATATCGCAAACATCGGATATAGTTGGCCGATCCTTATAAGAATATGATAATATAACCCAATTTATTATAATACAAAACCTAAAAAAGTCCCAAATTTCTATCTTCAAAAACACAAAAGTTGGGTCATTTCCGATCGTTCAGTTATATTGCAGCTATAAGATATAGTCGGCCGATCCTTATGAAATTTGGCATGTCGTAATGTTTTGCCAAAAAATGCTCTCATGTCGAATTTGAACTCTCTAACTTTAAAAACGTCAAAGTTATACCATTTCCGATTAATCAGTTATATGGCAGCTATAGGATATAGTCGGCCGATCCGGGCTGTTCCGACTTATATACTGCTTGCAAAAACTAAATTCACACTGAATTTTGTAAAAGTAAACATCGGAGCCTGTCTGAAAGACTGATAATTTGCAAACATTATTTTGATTCCAGGTGTGTTATGTTTTTGAAAACCTTTTTATTTATTTTCAGGACACATCTTTTTTTCGGCATCTGAGATTGAAAATTTCAACTACGAACAGTTTATAAATGGAAATTTTTTCGCAAAATGTAACTTAATAGTATATGTGGGGCATCTGGGGGGGCGGGGAAAATCTCATTTTCCAAAGCACGCGTGCATAGGGTCGGAAATTCTGCCGCAGCGCTGCCGGCACTCTGACAGTGTGAGCACTCTTATATTTTCTTAGAAGCTCTCTCAATTGATCGCATATTGACTCATCCCATACTGAAAAAAATTGTTCCACTGAGAAAAATTTTCTCAGAAAATGAAGAAATAGGGTTGGAACAAGTTTTCTCAATAGGAAAATATAGATTTGGTAGCGTAGTTTAAGAGCTGTTGCTAAAAAAGCTTTTCTCAAAATAATATATGTACATATGTACAATATATGTAGCTGTGTTCATAATAATAGCAGTGCAGTAGCAACGAAGTAAAAGAACGGTAATTTTTGCATTTTCCTTTTAGTTAGTTGATCACTTGGTCATTATTTTTGTTAAATGGAATATAGAGATAGGAAAAGTACAACAATTTCGTTAGATTTACTATTTATTTTCGTTTTCTGGGCATTTTTGTTCAAAATCACATGTTTTTGGCTGTTCATAAAAATAGCAGTTTTTCATTTTGATCCACAAAAAGTGCCAAAAACATTAAAAATTTGGCGAAAAGTGAGTTTGCTTAAGTTTGTTAATATAATTTAAATGAAAATACACAATAACCATATAAAAATTCGGTTTTTAGTGGGTAAAGGACGCCACTGTTCAAAGGAAGAGAGGAATGTCATAGTTCAGCTTAGGAAGCTGGGAAAACCCCATAAAAAATCCAAAATTTGGTAAATTGTTCTGCCAAAATGGTATCCAATGCCATTAATTATGAGGGGAAGGCCGAAACACGTGGGTCCAAACGAAAAACCATCGATATTGAGGGCCGAATGAAAGCGCGCTTTAGCAAAGCGAATCCTTTTGTATCTTCTAGGGATGTAAAAGAGGAGCTAAAGTTGTAGATCAGCGACGTCACCATTCGCCGTCGATTAGTAAATGAAAATTTAAATGCGAGAAGCCCCCAAAAGGTGCCATTACTTGGTAAAAGGCATATCCAAGCTCGATTGGAGTTTGCCAAAAGCCATTTGAACTGGCCAGTGACGAAATGGCGCAATATTCTTTGGATAGATGAGTCCAAACTGGTCTCGTTTGGTGGGACAGGCTCCAGACAGTATGTTCGACGACCCCCAAACACTGAGAACCACCCAAACCACACTTTTAAGACCGTTATGCACGGTGGCCCTAAAATATTGATATGGGCTTGTTTTTCGGACAGCGGCGTGGTCCCATACATATGATCGATGGGATCGTGGACCAAGACGTCTATGTCGACATACTCAAAAAAGTAGTGCTTTCTTATGCACAGTGAGATATGTCCTTAAAATGGACTTTCTAGGAGGATAACGATCCAAAACATACCAGCAAATTGGCTAAGAGTTGGGTTAGTCAACCAAACATTGATGCAATGTCGTGGCCAGCACCTTCCCCGGATTTAAATCCGATTGAAAATTTATGGGGGGACATCAAGGGATATGTGGCAAAGAAATACCCGACTTCAACACCGCATCTTTGGCAATTTGTAGAGGACGCGTGAGCCCAGATTCCCCTCAAGCGTTGCCAGGACTTGGTGGACTCCATGCCACGTAGGGGTGAAACTGTTTATTAGTTTATATTTATAATTTTTGTTATTTGTTTTAAGTTTTTTTAAGATTTGATGAATTTTTTAGTTTTTTTGGTAACACTGCTATTATTATGAACACCCCATTTTGTCGATATTATTTTGTTATTATCTATATTTTCGAAATAAATGGAGTAACTAGACTGAAACAAATGTTAACATAATTAAAAATAAATATATTATGAGTATGCATACCAATTTTGTCCCATTTTGGCGTTTGTACTACAATTATTCGATCTTAAACATTTGTGTCATGAGCACTGCTATTTTTATGAACACAGCTATACTATGTAGTATATGTATACTACTATTTTAGCGCCCATTCCATCTTTTGAATTAATGAAAAATTAAATGAAAAACTACTTTTTTCGCTCAGTGAATGCTCTGCTCTCATTGTTTTGCTGCTACGCATACACTCTAATTTTAAAAATGTGTGCGTTTTGCCCCCCACTGTTTTAGATTATAAAATTCTGATAATGTGTCAGAAATAATCAGATTCAATTTCTTATTTTTAGTACGTTTTTTATTTGTATCCCTTTCTAGCGGGTATAATAATTTGGTTAAAATGTGTAATGTAGTGAAGAAGACAGCTCCGACCCTATAAAGTGTTCTTGATCAGGATTATCTAAGTCGATATAAGCATGCCTGTCTGTTGCTAGCAGTCTCTCAGTTTTTAAGCTCAAAGCTTCCCACTTTTCACACACATTTCTCTCTCCTGCACGCAGTATTTCAGTCGGGATCGGTTGAGTATATCCTATAGTTTCTATATAGCTGATTGATTGGAGAAAGGTCAATTGTTTGGCTAA